TAATCTGAATAATTTTTAAATATTTTTTGGGGACTTTTCTAAGCTTAACAATTGGTTGTGCCGCCTTTGATAGTGAACGGCCGTCTGTGAGGGCTTTATGTCAATATGGAGGAAAGTCAATCTATTCCATACAGTTATATTCATTCAGACACAAGTTTATACCGCTGCATATAATTAGGGATTAGGTCCAGCCTTTAACTAGGCCACTCCAAAACTCTTTATTTTTTTATTTTTCAGAGGTTGACCAGCTAGTGTTTAATTGATCATTATCCCGTTATCTGAATGTCCCTGAGTTTAAAGGTATAAACTGATAGGCCAACAGTCCTGTTCAGAATTTCACACCCAAAAAACAATATTTTCATTAATTATTTTTAGTTTTAAAGGTTTCTTTTTTCATGAAATGCTGTGTTTGTTCATACTCGGCCAAAGATGGCCGAGTATGAACAAACTTTTCACTTGTTGATCCACTGAAAAGTTTATAATTATTCTAAAAACCCACTGAGAAGGTTTCATGGTTTGTTTCTCATGTGTTTTTATTTTTTCAAACCCATAAAAACATGGCTGCTGTGTTTGATTCCACATGTTGGACAATAATGGGTCCTGGGTCTGATTATAGATACTGAACCAAATGATTGATGTAATGATTGTTGTAACTATGGGGGTCAATCATATTCTCACATTTGATTAGTTTCTCTCTACATTATTTATTAATTACTTATGTATTTACTAACAGACCAGAGTGAGGGATGGAAGGATGGATATAATTATTCCACTTTTTTTTTAAATATATATATATATTTGTTTTTAATTTCTACAGTTTAACAGTTTATTGTAATAGCTTAAAGCAACACCTCAGTGGGTGTGGGAGTGGGTTGGAGGATGCGCGTGTGTGTGTATCAGCGTGTTAGTAAGGGGTGTTAGTACAATAAGCCTGAAGGTATTGGGGTCAGGGGGATCAGATGTTTTAATAATCAGATTATATACACAGACAGACACTAGCAGCTACTTCATCAGGTCAGATAAAGTTGACTCACCTGGCCAGCTTGCTCAGGCCCAGAACCCTCTTGTTGGGGAGGTAACCAATGTGAACCTGTATGAGGTGAAACATTTTCAGACAAAAAAAAACATGAGGAGTCAAAATGTTAACAAAAAAAAAAAAAAAGGTGGAAGGTAGAAAACTTGTTCAATTTAAGGAAAATTTTTATGAACTTCAGTCTAAGTTAGATCATCTAAATAAAAGATATACAGGATAAAGAGAAATCTGATTTGGCATCAAGCTTGAATGTAGACAACTATCCAAAATATGATTCCTATAGACACACTGCCGTGTTAAATAGATCTAATAAATGTTGCGAGTGCTGCTAACACTAACTACTACTTAAGGCAACTACCAAAAATACAGAACATTTCCAATACTGAGGACACTTTGGTTTGGTTTTAAAAATGCTTTTTTAAATGGAGTACGGACTGTGGCTGTGCAACAGGCTGCAAATGGCTGTGTTGCTTTATGCCATAAACCACACGTACATCGATCTCCACCTATTCCCTGGTTTTGGATTCTTAGTTAAATCATAATAAATTCCTGATTTGGTAACTTGATGCCTGTTTGTTTTTCTAGTCAGTTCTTTTAATTCTTGAACCACCTGGAAGTCATGCAGAAAGTTTAGTGTGGTTCACTTTTTTTTTTTTTTACCAAAGCACTAATTTAAATATAAATAAATAAATGAACACTACCTAACTGATTCTGATGTATTCTCATGAAATCAGTCTGGGATATGAGAAACAGTGTCTTGACCATCAGTTTCCATCATCTTCCACTCTCAATATCACAGAGACCATATTCTAGCCTTCTTCAAGCCCACCACCAGGGGGTCATATTAAGAACTTCCAGAAGTTTTGTCCTAAGGTTTCCTAATTTCGTCATTCTTAGTAAAATTACGCAGCTCATCAAAAATAAGAAACAAAATTCAGGTGCACCACACAAATATAATTTCCCCCCATCTTTAATTATTTCATTTTTCTCAGGCCAAACACAGCCTTGAATCATGCTCCCCTCCCCCACATGTTGCTGCAAGCTACCAGTCATCTGTGTTTCCTGGCTTAAGGAGGAAAACTGCTATACTTTCTAATTTGCTGAAACCAAAAAATATGTTTTTAGATTATTTGGTAATAATTCAAGGGAATTCAGTTGTCATCTTTAGACTTTTACACTTCCTAACTTCCACACATTCAATATTGTATAAAATAGTGCATTTAAAGCCCCAAGTACAAGAGACTGTTATTATTTATGAGATGTTTTGAAGAAAAGGAGATTTGGTGCTTTTGTACCTCTAAATAACGCTGTTCAGAATTGGAGCAGAAGTTTTACTTCTTTTAAAGCTTTCATTGTCGATGGCCATTGTGCATTGATTGTTGCACTGACGTGCTAATTACTGGCAGCCCAGGGCGGGGCTATAGGTCCATGCAGACCTGAAGTGCTTTGCCTGACAGACATTGGTGAGGGCATAAATGACACGTAGGAAGGCCGCTGCATAGTCTTGCAAGTTGTGTGAGAGACTCATGCTGAAAACTAACCAGTTTTTACCTGACTGTTGTCTAACAGACTAATCACAAAAAGGGAAATAAAAATAAATAAACAATGGAAAAAGACTCTAGTGCTCTGTCTGAGTAAATCCAGCCACACTCGTAATGTCAGGAGTCCATCCCTTCCACGTGTGGGGTGCAGTTATTGAAATACTTGACAGTAAAAACCTTAGGGCAGAAAGACCTGACAGTTAGTGAACAGATAATAGTCAGAACACATGAATTATAAATGGCATCAGAATAATTGAACCCATATATTCCCAACAAAATCTGACCACCTGTACATGGAATCTTAAGCAAAACCTATCAAAAGTATTCTTACCAAAATGTAGCACACCATTGCACCTTTAACAGATATTTAGCCATAAATAATTACCATACAATACAACCCTAACAAAGCACAACATAAATACATATATCCCAAAATTTATTTACATCACTGCAGCCATTTACAAAACCAGTTGTACAAACCAAACGAGGAGGAGTCCACTCACATTACACATACTAAAATAAACACAGCAGCAGCAGTAGGATCCTAGATAACAGATAAATCTCTTCCTGCCTTGTCATTTATGCCCTCACCAATGTCTGTCAGGCAAAGCACTTCACGTCTGCATACACCAATATCCCTGCCCTAGGCTACCATTAATTAGCAGGTCAGTGCAAAATTGATATCAGAGATAACATCACTGTTTAGCAAATTTGGACTGTGTTCTCAATTGCTTTGTTTGGTTTCTTTCTTCCCTCTTACAAGCAGCTTTCCTACTACAATTAGGTTCAAATCTAAACAAAACTGAGAGGCATAAAAAAGTAATTACTTCCTTTAGTTACTTGTATATATGTGCTATTTTGTATAAACTGAAAAGATGTTTTTTTTTTTTTTTTTTTTTTTTTTATGACAAGAGGCGCAGAGGAGATCAAATCAGGCGGAAAAGTCGAAAGGAGGACGATTCGGAGTCAACAGCATGAGATCCACTGCTGCAGATCGCTGGAGGCTCTAATTCTCTTACACACAAACATCCAAGTGAGCTTCACTTAAATGTCAGGGCCAATTTGTTGACTGGAGAGGAAAAAGGGCAGCAGCAACAGGCGTGCGAATATCTCTCAATTTCGACGTCTTTCTTCTTCCTCCTCTCTGCTGCAGTAGCCTGATATACGCACATCAAACAGACTGCTACTTCACTCAACTTATTTCGATTTACAAGCACACGCCCAAAGGCAGGAGGAGGCTGTTTCTAAGCATTTTCAGCGCTGGTTTGGAAAGGGATGCACTGAAAATCTTCACACACATTTTACTCTTTAAGAAACAAGTGACAAAAAAAAAAAAGAAAATCTTTTAAGACTTGAATTTAGAAGGTCTTGAGTCTTTTTGACCATAAACTATAGATGCGAAAAAAAAGAAAAACTATAACCTTTGGAAAACAAATCTATTCCTTATCATTCCTTCATGATAAGGAATAGATTTTAGACATCTGCATATCCTCCCATATTTTTTTCCCATAATTATCAAGACCTAAAAGGTAGTTAAATTAACTCAGACATTTTCCCATCGGTCAAAAAGCGTACAGAATAAAAAAAAAAAGATAGGATGCCAAAACAGGCAATAATGTCTAAATATGTTAGTGAAAGGTTATTGAAACACTAAAATATGAGTTACAGAGGTAAATACAAAAAATATTTATTTTCTACACAAATAAAAACTTCTCTCCAGCTTCTTCATCACATAGATCATATTGTCTTAGGTCTGATAGTTTTATCTTTTACAATGTAGAAATCAAACTGGTAAATTTTATTTTATTTAGTTTTTAATAGTAATCCATAAAATGTCAACGAGGTAAATCTCTTTTCCTATTTTTGCAGAGAGAGAGAGCAGGAGCAATAGTTTTTTCCAGCTAAGTAAAGAACATTTTCCCCCTCCTTCATGCCTTACAACAAACTGCTGGTCAACTGGCCAAAAGTCGGCTCCTTAACTACCCTCTAAATTCAGCTGTTTGTGCATCATTAAGCTCCTAAAAAAAAAAAAAAAATGTTTTAATGTAGAAGCTAAAAGAACTCCACACATCAAACTAATTTAAAACTACAGCTAATAAGGTGTGAGTGAGCTGACTGTAAATCAGCCTCCCTTAGGTGGGATAATGGAGCAAACAGCCTGACTAATTACACAGCTAATACCTGAATATTATATCATAGAGTTACTCTATTAAGATCATAATCACATAGTTTTTTGTTTTTTCCTGCAAAATAATGTTTGCCTGGGACATCCATATACCGTAAATTCTCTAATATAGGCCCGGGCCTTTATTTCACTCAAGTGCATCACAGACCAGGCCTTTATTGGATAGAGGCCAGAATTAGAGACAGGCCTCTATTGCTATTTGAGCAAAACAGACTACCAGTGGAATGAATAAAAATGAGATTTTGTGTCTATTTGAAC